CCCCACAGCTATTTGGTGAATATTTTTTAAGTGTCTGTGAAGACTACCTGTGCTACCCATAGAATAGTATAATACAAAATAGATTAGTTGTCCACTTTATTTTGTACGAGGTTTGGCGTCGCCAAACCAGATTCGCTGTGTTGACAGACTGACTTTACACATTTTAGAATTTTGATTAATGTTCAAGATCATCGTTTAAAAAAAATCGTTTAAATTTTAATACATATTTATTTGTAAATCGGGTGCAATTTGGCATTTTTTTAAATAATTTTCATGAGAAATTTGGAAACGATTGTAATGTCATATCTCGTGTTGACATTTATACGTTTGAATTGACGTGTTAGTGACATTTTAGACCCCGAATGAATTTCAAAACTTTTTTGCATTTTTTGTATTTGGCTTTCTTTATTTTTAGCTCTCAAATAATAATGATAGCGTGACAGACTCATTTCTGAGTCTATCACGCAGAGAAACTCCGAGCATAGCCCTCTCCATAGCTCGCTGAGCGATCTTGAGCGTCCTCATACGGCCAGCAGTGAAGGACCACGTCTCTGATCCGTAAGTCATCACTGGCAACACGCACTGGTTGTACACTTTAGTTTTCAGAGATTGAGGTATACCTGACGAGAAGATGTGTCGTAATTTCCCGAACGCTGCCCAGCCGAGTTGAATCCGTCGATTGATCTCTCGGTCGAAGTTGGACTTACCTAGTCGGACTATTTGTCCCAGGTAAACGTACTCGTCAACAACTTCGAGCATAGTGCTCCCAACAACTACCGGCATAGGTGTGACATGGACATTAAACATGATCTTTGTTTTGTCCATGTTCATCTTAAGACCTATCCGTTGGGAGGCACTATTGAGGTCATTGAGCATAGTGCTTAAGTCCTCCAGCGATTCTGCCATAAGGACTATATCGTCGGCAAATCGAAGGTGAGTGATGTACTCGCCATTGATGTTAATACTAATAGTATCCTTTCCGGTCCAGTAGCTTGAAAACGTCTTCCAAAGCAGCGATGAAGAGTTTCTGGGATATAACGTCACCCTGTCTTACACCTCTCTGCAGTTGGATAGGTTTCGAGCTCTGGTTCTGTACTCGGATAGCCATCGTAGCCCTACTGTACAAACACTTCAGTGTTTCAATATACCGACAGTCAACTTGGCACCGCTGAAGGGACTGCAGCACCGCCCAAATTTCGACGGAATCAAAGGCTTTCTCATAGTCCACATACGCCAGGCAAAATGGCAAATTGTACTCTTCAGTTTTCTGTACAATCTGCCGCAGGGTATGTATGTGGTCTACGGTACTGAAGCCTTTTCGGAAACCGGCTTGTTCGGGAGGCTGGAAGTCGTCGAGTCTGCGTGCGAGACGATTCGTAATGACTCTCGAAAACAGCACATAGACGCGGCTCAGAAGGGAAATCGGTCTGTAGTTCTTCAAGAGAGCATTGTCGCCTTTCTTAAAGAACAAGACCACCGCACTTCTGCTCCACGCCTCTGGAGTAGTGCCACCATGGAGGACGGAATTGAAGAGCTTCTGAAGGACTTCAAGTACCGGTGTTCCACCCGCTTTCAGAAGCTCCGCTGTAATTCCATCCTCGCCTGGGGCCCTGCCGTTTTTAAGGTGCTGGAGAGCCATTCTAATCTCGCTCAGACTGACGTCCGGGATATCATCGGAATAGTGTCGGATAAGACTTGCTCTTGGATCGTTACTCACACTTGCTTGTGGCTCCAACGATGATGTGTACAGCTGCCCATAGAACCTCTCAATCTCACTCAAAATCTCAGGTGTCCCGGAAACGATGCTGCCACACTCAGTCTTCAGCCTTGACGGTTGGCTCTTACTACTTTAAAGACTTTGGAGCCCTGGTTCCGCTCGATCGCTTCTTTAATACGAGCTGTATTGAAGTTGTGTAAGTCTCGCCGCATGCATTTGGAGATACGTCTGTTCAGTTGCCTGTATGCTGTCAAATCTGTTGACGATTGCAGCCTCATCTCCCGTCTAACAGCCATGAGATTAAGAATGTGATCGGAGAGTTTTTGTGTTCTTCTGCGGCGGGTCTTGCAGAACTTAGCTCCGACCGCATGGACAGTTTCCACGAGCTTGTCATTCACATCGTCCACTGCATTGCAATTTTGTAGGCACTAAAAGCGGTTGTGTAACTCGAGCTGAAAGTTTTCGGGATTTTGGATAAGAGCACGAGGGGGGACGGAGCGTTGACTTCATTAGACGAGACCTCTCCAATTTAACGTTTAGGTTCAGTGTGCCTCTAACCATTCGGTGATCGCTGCCAGTTTTCACCCTTGCGATCACTGAGACATCACTGAACAGTTGGCGTCTGGTCGTCATAATGAAGTCAATCTCATTTTTTGTCGAACCGTCGGGGCTCGACCAGGTCCACTTCCTGTGGGGCCGCTTCTGGAAGAAAGAGTTCATCATAAAGAGTCCCTCTTTCTCCATAAAGTCGGCCAGCTGCTGGCCCCTTCGGTTCCGTTGCCCTACTCCAAATTTCCCAAACTTCAGCTCACCGTTTTCTCTTGTGCCTAGTTTTGCGTTGAAGTCTCCCATCAACACCGTGTAGTGGGTTTTGGAGGAATGCATGGCTTTGGAAATATCCTCATACATTTCCTCCACCTCCTCATCGGAATGTGCCGAGGTTGGTGCGTAAACCTGTATGACCTTCAGCGAATACCGTTTGGTGATTCTGAGTATCAGGTACGCGACCTCGTCGACACACTCCCAATCTTTACAACGTTGTTGACGAGAGACTTGTGGACGATAAATCCGACACCTCCATGGGACAGATGGTCGCCCTCCCGGTGATAGAACAAGTTGCCGGATTCGAGAATCACCGTGTCCTCCCCCTCTCTTCGGACCTCGGATAATCCTATAATACTCCAGCGCAACTTGTCTATCTCTTCTTCCCAGCTCCAGGATCTTCTCGTCAGTCCTCAGTGTGCGTGCGTTAAATGTTGCCAGGTCGAGTCGTCGTAGGTGGCAACCGAACCTCCACCGGAGATTCTTAGCACCCCGCCCGCCCGTGACCATGGTCGCCACCGTAGCCAGGAATAGCGGGGCCGCCGGGGACTGGGAGCCGTCTATTTGTGTAATTGTTCATGGGGGGTATATTGCCATAGTTGCCACGCTTGGCGAGCGGGTTGGCAACCGCAGTTTTTTTTTTGTCGTACAGTTGCTGTTATCAGGAAGATGCTGCTGCCCATCTCCTGCCTGTTTCCCTCTGTCGCCTTTTACGACACCCACGGGAAGATATGGGGTAGTGGATATTCTTAACCGCCACTACACGGCTATTGGGTAAATTTTTATACTAAGGTATAAAAATGTACCCAATTTTATAGTGCGAAATTTTTCAAGTTATCATTATGATCATTGAGTTTTTTTTTAATAGGATTAGGTGACAAACGAACACACAGTCCACCTGATGGTAAGTGGTTGCTGTGGCCCATAGACATCTACATCTATTCTCGATTACGAATCAAAATGCAGATGCGTTGTCACCCGTGAGGACTAAGATGGAATGCCTCGTTTCCAGTAAAAAGGGTTTCTGGTTCTCTACACTCACCATACGAAACACAGCAGCATTAAGCTACTATTTTACGCTGGTATTCTGTGAGATAGTGGTCTTTCCCCGGTCGAGCCGACCCATTCGTGCTACAACTATACTACTAATATAGCTGTACATAGCTCTACCACGTAGAAATTTAAAATGCATCACAGACTGTAATTTTTTATATGTGGTAGAGCCATGCTGCAGCTATATTAGTAGTAGCTGTAGCACAAATGGGTCAGCTTGATCGAGGAAGGACCACACTCTCACAGAATACCAGCGGTAAATATCAGCTTAACGGTGTTGTTTCGTATGGTCAGTGTAGAGTACCGGAGACCCTTCTTACTGGAAAGGAGGAATTTCATGTTAGTCCTCACGGGTGACAACGCATCTACATTTTGATTCGTAGTCGAGGATAGATGTAGATGTTTATGGGCTACAGCAACCACTTACCATCAGATGGACTGTGTACTCATCTGCCACCCTCATTCTATTTAAAAATATTAACTCTTCAGAGTGGAACACAATAGCACAAGCACTGCTATTTTGCGGCAACAATAAAGAGAGTGGTACCTACCCAGATTAGCTCTGGGTAAAAAAGATGTACAATAGAATTCTAGATATATTAAGTCTTGTCAGTAGCGTTGAGTATTATTGTTATGGTATGTTATGTTGATATATCTACTACATGTGGTATGATGGTGCATGATAATATAGTATGCCTATCCTGCATGCAAGAAGTTGATGGATGCAGGTGGCTTAGGACCGTGTTTTGTGGCATTACTTGGAGAAGAATTATAATCAGCATTTGACTTGTGAAGGGGAGTAACGATGATGATGATGATGCTATGTTAGTAGAAACTAAAGACCAATGCCTTGGTGCATGAGTTATGTCACTGTTTTTACGCTATGCAAACATATGAAACTTGCCCGAATTTTCTATATGATGTAGTTTAGTTTAGTTAGTTTAGTTTACGACAGCCTGTTTTCCGCAACTCTACATCCAAGCGCGTATTTTGCGTGTGGGCAGGAATAATGTGATTATTCGAGCCATGAAATCTCCCCAAAGAAGTTCAACAGTCCTTTGATGTTGCAAGCAACTTCAGGGAGCGATCCCAGCGTACCAAGATGTTTAGCCTTGTATGCAGCGACCTCCAGACATATTTTAGCAACATGTGGGCCGCTGTTTCTTCCTCCCTCATACATACCCTGCACATACCTGGGACTATCTGTAACACCTATGGTAAATAAATGTTTGTTAAAGAAGCCATGTCCTGTGACAGCACTTGTTACTATCCTGATCTGTGGCTTGTTCAGTCTCATTAGAACCTTGGTTGAACGACTGTTTATTTCAGGCTGAATCTCCCAAGCTTATCCACAGTCTACTAGATTTTCTATATGATGTAATTAATAGATAAAATTACAGTCACTAACCTGCCAGTTGGTCATAAGCCCTGAAGAGAAGACTAGTTTGAAGGACTTGCTGAGGTGCAGCTTCTAAGAAGCATTCAAACACTCTCAGAAGGGCAGCGTCTGAATCTTCCTTCAACATTAGCCCATAGTACATCCTCTGGGATGATGGATCGCGTTTGCGCTCTGCTCTGCGTGACTTGATAGCGTAACTGTGAGATATTTAAAAAGATGAAAGTCCACAACAAATGGTAACATTTGTATGGATTGCCATCATAACAGTCCAATTTAAAACACATTTGTATATAGTAGAGCCATGCTGCAGCTATATTATGGTTGCAGTATTAATGGATTGACTCGGAAGGCAGAACCACACTCTCCCAGAATATCAGCGTAAAATAGCAGCTTAATACTAACGTGTTTCGAATGGTTAGTGTAGAGAATCAGAGATGCTTTGACTAGAAACAAACTATTCCATCTTAGTCTTTTCCCCGCTCGTGTGTGGGAGGGGGGGCTGAGACGGAGGTTGTCAGAGGAAAGGGGTTAGATGTTTTCCATCCGAAGGGTGAGAATACATCTGCACTTTGATTCTTAATAATAATAATAATAGCCTTTTATTCCTAAACATAGGGTTACAAGAGGTCCCTAAGTTCGGTGTGCCTTTTGGCATAGGCCTCCTCCAATTCCTTCCAATGGTTCCTGTCCCTTGCTACTCTCAGCCAGAATGGTCCCGCTGTCTGTTTCAAGTCGTCTTCCCATCTCCTGACTTGACGACCCCTGCCTCTTTTGCCATCTCTTGGTTGCCAGAGAGTGACTTGCTTGCTCCATTTGTTAATGTGGTGGCGTAGCAAATGTCCAGCCCATCTCCATTTTTGGACGTCTATCCTTGTAAGAATGTCTGTGAGTTTTGTTCTTGTTCTAATGTCAACGTTTCTGACTCTGTCTTTGATTTTTAACCCTAGCATGCTTCTTTCCATGGCACGTTAGCATTTTGTTAGCCTTTCCCTATGGTGAAGTGTTGTTGACCAAGTTTCACAGCCATAAATAAGAACTGGTAGAATGCAGGTCTTGAATGTTTTCTTTTTTATGTGATTGCCTAGATCCTTACTTTTCACTATTTCCTTCAGTGACCAGTATTTTCTCCATCCTTGGGCTATTCGCCTGTTTATTTCCTTTGTCATTTCATCTGAAGGGGATATTATCTGTCCTAAGTAAATATATTCTTTGACATATTCGATCTTGTTGCCATCTACCATAACGTCTATTTCCCTTGAGTTTGACATTAATTTTGTTTTACTGGCATTAATTTCCAGACCAACTTCCCTACTTATATTTGCTAGGCTCTGAATCATTTCAGATCATCGGCAAATCTTAGATGGTTTAGGCGAGCTCCATTAATGTTCAGACCTAGGTGGTCCCAGTTTAGCTGTCTAAAGATGTGCTTGAGTACGGCGTTAAATAGTGCAGGGGAGAGAGGATCGCCTTGGCGCACGCCCTTTTTGATAGGAAATGGTTCTCCTGTTGATTCTAGTTTAATAATACTGGCCTTGCTAGATTTGTATATAATCTTAAGTATTTCTATATAGTTGCTCTTGACCCCTTGTTGTGCAAGGCTGCGCCATATGTGTTGGTGCCTGAGGCTGTCAAATGCCTTTGAGTAATCTATAAACGCCAGGTAGATTTGTTTATTGTATTCGTTATACTTCTGTATCAACTGTTTTATTGTGTGAATGTGATCTATTGTGCTGAAGTCTTTTCTGAATCCTGCCTGCTCTACGGGTTGGCTTCCGTTAAGTGTTAATGATATTCTTTCCAGTATCACTTTAGCAAATTATTGATATATATTTAATATAAAAGAAATCGGCCTATAGTTCCCAATCTCGTCTCTGTGGCCTTTTTTATGTAGTAGAGTTGTGTGACACTCGGTTCATTCTTCTGGAATTTGCCTTATTTGTAAGATTTCATTGAAAAGTTTTGCCAGCACAGGACTGATTTCCTCTAAGGATCCCTTGAGCATTTCATTAGGTATCTTGTCCGGCCCTGGGGCTTTCTCGAGTTTTTGGGATTTTATTGCCTTGATTACCTCTGATGTAAGGATTTCTGGCACTTCATCTTGTTTGTTTTCTTTTACTTCGTTTACTTCCAGAATTGTGGCCATCCCTGAATCGAAATTATCAGAATACAATAGGCGGTAATAGTCCGTAGCTAGTTTCTGTATTGAGAGACGATTAGTTAAGTAATATTCGCGTTGCTTTAGTTTCGCTATCCATTCTTTCCCATATTAGCTTAGTTGTTTCATAGCCTTTTTTGTTCCTCCTGTTCTTTTTATATTTTCTTCCAAAACTCTATTTCTTTTCTCCTTACGGTCTTTCCTCATATTCTCCTTAATTTCCTTGCTAAGAGTTGCAATTTTTTGGCGTTCTTTGTCCTCTTTATTTGATATTAGTGTTCTTCTTTCATCTAATAGTTCTAGTGTCTTTTTACTTAAATAGCTTTCTTTACTTTAGGGTTTTCTGGCTAGCATCTCTTTCAATTTGTTTTGTAATCTCCTGTATTTAATCCCAGTTTCTGCTTCAGAGGTAATAATTTCATTGAGTGATTCTGTTGTGCGGGAATTAGTGGAATGATTGCATTCTGATATTCGATACAGCTTATTATTGTTTACTAGGTTTTTCCTGGATATTTTGGGTTGGTTTAGGTTTAGGCAGCTTCTTACCATACGGTGGTCTGTGTTAAAGTTGAGGTTTTTAACTATGTTGGTATCTGTGAACGCACTTGCTTTGTTGGTTATAATAAAGTAAATCTCAGTTTTAAATTTTGCACCTGGGTAGGACCACGTCCATTTGCTTTTAGTTTTTTTGTTAAAACATGAGTTCATTAAAATAAGGTTATTTTCCCTCATGAATTCTACTAATTTCTGTCCATTTTGGCTTCTTTGCCATGCCCAAACTTCCCGATTGAGGATTCTTCTCCAGTTTGCCTATCTCCAACCTGTGCGTTAAAGTCGCCCATGATTATTATGTTGTTGTTGTAATGCGGTTTTATTGCTTCTGAGATACTCTCATAGAAATATTCTATTTCTGATTTCCCCGCTTGTTCTGTTGGGGGTATATTTTTGAAAGATGGCCCAGTTTTTCTTGTACCATGGAAATTTTAAATGAACTACAGCAATTCTGTCAGAAACTCCTTCTAATCCCATAATGTTCTTCTTCACTTTAGACTTGATGAGGAAACCTACTCCTTTTTGTCCGGTGTGTTCTCCTTTGTGAAACATGATACAGTCGTTCCTCTCTTCTATCCCTTCTCCTGGCCTTCTCATCACGCTGATGCCAATTATGTACCATTTTATGTTATATATGGCTATTTCTAGTTCTTTTAGGCTTTCTTCTGTTCTTAGTGTCCGAGTATTCAGTGTGCAGACATTCATATGTTCAGTGATTTTTACCTTGTTCTATCTGTACTGTTTTCTTATTAAATATGTTTGCTTTAGGGTGTTTCGAAATATAATGTTTTGATTTAGATGGAGGGTGTTTGTCTTCTTCCTCCACGGTGACAAGCCGGCTTGGGGTGCAATTTATGAGTATTGTGTTTGGTAATGTGGTTGTTAGGGTTGTTTGGATCCGGGTGTCGCTTATTAGTTTTTTTAAGAGATTTGATAATGAAGCTGATCTCCCACGCTCTACACAGTTCAGTATATTTAGTCTGACGATATCCTTTGTCGCAGTTTTAGAGGAGGCGTTCAAGGTGGTCAATGTACTTTCGATGCTACCTGCATTGACTTTCTTTTGTGATGATATTTTCGGTGATCTTGAAGTCTCTCTTTTCCTTTTTTCTCTGTTGCTTTCGTGTGTTTTCCTTATTATCAGTTTGTCGTATTTTATGTAGGCTATATTCCCTTTTTTCTTTTCCTCTTCAACTTGCAGCTGCAGTTGTTTATGTTTTTCTATTATTTCTTTAGGGTAATCCTCTTTGATATTTACACCTTTTTTGCAGGTTAGATCTGTTTCGCAGAATCATATGTTTTTTCCATGTAGTTGTGAGTGAGACTACAACCGGGAGATTTTTATCTAGCTCTTTTTTTACCGATTCTGTAAACATTATTAATTTCGAAGACTTCAAAGTGTACTCCCATTTCTATTATAATGTCTTTTATGTAGTCTACTAGATCTGGTTCTGTTGTTTTTCCTTCCTCGATGCCAAAAAAGACAAGGTTATTTTTGCGCTTATCCTTATCAACGAATTTAAGTTTTAACTCTAGCTCCCTTATTTTATTTTTGAGTTGGGCGTTTTCTTCGGTGACCACTTTAAACTTTTCGTCTAGTGCTGCCATGATATTTTGTGTTATTGAAGTTGTTATAAGTTTAGTTTGTTGGTCTAACTTTTCGTCTAATTTTGCCAATAGGATTTCCATACTTTTTTCCATCTTTGGTATTTTTTATATTGCTATGGCAACACTTGATTCACTGTGGCAATACTCGTTTCGTTGTGGCAACACTTGTTTTGCTGTGGCAACACTTGTTTTGCTATGGCAACACTTGTTTTGCTGTTTGTTATGTTGGTACTGTAGTTTCCACTCTATAGTCTACGTTCAACTTGAATCAGCTGACTCTTGACGGTATTTTTGTAGGTTAGAATGATTACAATTACGGTTGATTAGTTCTCGCAATTTAACACTTTTTCTGTAATTTTTTCACTGATCACGTATTTTGTACTTTGTTGTAATCAATATTGCGTATGACACACTTTGTTGGCACTGTTTTACACTGTTTATTTTTTATTTTTCGCGGAGCTCTGTGACGTGCGTATTGACTGATCGACGACCGGAACCGGAATCCACTTTGATTCTTAATTAAAGATAAATGTAGATGTCTATGGACCACAAAATCCACTTACCATCAGGTGGATTGTGTGTCCGTTTGTAACCTTTATTCTAAAAAATAAAAAAAGGCTCCTCTTTGCTTTAGAGCAATAAATTACTAGATCAGAATACCATTTGGTGGCGTCTTAATTTTTCTTATTTATTCCCGTAGGTGTAGTAAGAGGTTTAGCCAGAGAGAACAGATCGCCAAGTGTCACGATCCTTACATACCTCTTTCGCTTCTTTCAGGTTCATTAACTTCTTTATACATGCACGTCTAGGTATCCGAGTATTCTTGACCTTCCCCTCTTCGAGCAATTTGCTCACATGGTCTTCGAAAGTTAGTCTCGGTCT